GAAGACCACATGCAAAAATTCAGCTAATTTGGAGCAAAAAAAAAAGAAAAGCAACCAAAATCGTCACTTATCCCCTTTTATGACTAGCTTCTTCAAATAGGCAGAGCTTTCCTAAATTCCACAAGGGACATAATGTCCCTTTAGTTAGTAAAATGACATAATAGATACATGTAAGAGTGCTCTCATAGTACCTGCTTTGGGACAAGGAGGACCCCAAGATAGAGAATACACTGTCTTCTTGTGATATGTTGAAGAACTCTCAGCCCTGGAGGAAATCCAAACAAAAAACAAAAAAAACAGAAAAAGAAACAAACCTCAATGATCGTGACACAGGCAGGGTAAATTGAGTGTAATTTAAATTTATAACTGTATCAATCAAAATGAACTAAAAAAAATAAATAAATTTAAAAAAAAAAACATATTTCTAAGAGAGATATATGTTTTGCTCCAAAACAAAATTTTTAATATAACAATGCATATCAACTTCTCTCAGATTTTGCATAAAACACAAGCCATCTATGACATATGCTATTTAGAAGAAATAAATTATTTTGGATGTTCCATAAAGTGCTGAAGGTTCACCTTACACTATTATTAATGCAATAAAGCTACTTGACTGTACTGTATACCTTTTAGAGATGATATTATAAACTCCAACTTGCCCATCATCTGCTCCAAAAGCAACAAGTCCTTCCTTGCTTGGATGCCATTTTACCTATAAGTATATTAAACACAAAGAACAAATTAAACATAATATATAGATTTAGGCCAGCCTAAAAGCGTAGCTCCTGGGCCAGGATGTTCAGAGCCCGAGTAAGCTAGCCCAGGAAAAGGTAGAATTTTGATATGAGTTTTCAACTTTGTGGTGAGGTTTTCTGTATATTGTTTGGCCTTCTGTTTTGAGTTTTAATAATCACCATATACACAAAACAAAGCAGCAAAAAACATTTGTATAAAAGAAAAAGTTATAATTCGGTTAACTTTTAATCCTGAGTTAACGTTAACCGTCTTCTGATCAATCCTGCCCTGTTTTCAACCAGTTAACCTGACATGAGCCCCCAATCCAATCGAAAACCAGCACTTGGTCAGCAGTCAACTTCAAAAAAATGCGTGACCTCGATGAGCTGTAAACTTAAGCCCTCGATATAGTCACATGATACTGGTCAGCGGATACCTTGTTTTGACAGATTTCAATTGATCATAACATGGATGTCCAATATCAAAGAAGTTCATGGTAAAGCAACAGTGCATATCTCTGTCAACCTATTATTTGGAGTATGGCCGCCATGTTGCGAGACTCTGTCACCGTCGCCGTCACTGTCGCTGTCGCCGTCGTGCGTACGTACCCACGAGCAATACCGCTAGCCGACAACCACGAGAAAATCAACTCATGGGTTTCCTTTTCTTTCCTATAGGAGTATGGGGCTTTGCTTGGCAGCCCTTTGGGCCGCTGGAGCTCCGCTAATAATCGTAATATTTTAAAAAATGAAAAAAAAAAAAAATTTCTCAAAAGAAGTTCCATGAGTGCAGTGCATGAATTTGTTTCTGTCCTGCAGCACTGTTTATAATAAAAGTACCTGTAGGATTTCAAATGCACCACAGGGACCCCAACTAAATTGCATTCTTACCACCATTACTTTTGACTTGATTCCTTGCCACAAGACCAAAGCTTCATAAGGTCCCACAGATGAAGCTGTTTGCCAAACCCGAAGCATGTTATCCCCAACCCCTATTCCTAATGTACCAGGATCCAAGGGGGAGATAGCTAGGGAGTAGGCAAAACCACCCAAGGTGGGTAAGGTATGGAGACTTCGCAAATGTTGAGGATCCCAGATTATAATCTGCAAGGCAAAAAATATGTTTGTAAATTCTCTCAACAAAGTGATGTCCATGCAATTCTTAGTTCATAGTTCTAATTAAACTGTTTTGTGTAATGTACCAACTAAGATAATATTGCCTTGCAACAATCTATTCTTATTTCATGAATAATTTGTATGAGAAATTTGACACCATTTTCAAATCTACATGGAAAGCCTAGTTTGAAATTTTATCGTGTATGTCTAATCATAATATCACGTTACCTGTCTGTCCAAAGAAACTGTCATGATTCTACTGCCAGCGATATCGCAGCTAATATTAAACACAATTCTGGAGTGACCCATGCCAAAGGTTTGGTGTTGGTCTTTTCCTTCTTTGCTTAAATCCCACAACAAAAGTTCACCACTATGTGAAGAAATCAAGAACTACATGATTGTATATTAAGATTGTCATGTTCTGTCAGTTCAATTTTGTTTAACTGAATTAGTTATTAAATTCAAAACCTGCATAAAAATTTGAAACAAATAATTCACTAACAGAAAACGAAAATGGGTTATTCCAGAAAAAATACACCCCCCTCCCCCGACGGATTGCAAGCATTTTTGACCCCCCCTTCTGACCAGATTTCCCAGACTGCTAGAGGCCCCTCCCGTCCGGATTTCCAAGCTCAAGGACCCCTTCCCGCCCGGATTTCCATTTTTTTTAAAGGCCCTAGGAAACAACAGGCAATAGAAAAGGTGTAACATTTCATCCAAAAGATCCCCGTTTATTAGAATTTTAAAAGCTCAGCAAATATTGCAAGTTCTGCGAGTTAAATTTCAACATTTTTTAAATCAGAGTATTCAAATGATTGATCACTCTCTCCTCTAAAACGCCATTTGCCTTTTTCTGTACCACAACAAATGTACAAGATAAGAAATTTATAAGTCTTAAAAATTATGTAAATGTAAGAAAAATTACAGCAATAATGTCCTTAAGGCGACTATAAATAAAAACTATAATTTCAGTTTTCGGTTACAAGACGGCCTACATTGGCAAGTGTTTACAAGATTGAGTCCCCGTTGTTAGGACTGTTAGTGTCACATTTAGAGAAAGCTTTTCGAACTAGACTAATTTTAAATTTCCCTGTTACCTTTATGGGTCTGTAGGTCAACTGGAACTCTTGCCTTTCTTTCAAGCATTCAAGTTTTTATGTGTAATGCCCATGCCCTGGCTTCCATAAACTTGTCTTTTACCATATCGATCGTAAGGCATAGATAATAAAGTGGAAGTAGCCGAGANTCTTGGCATTTTTGGGGATGTTACAAAGCACAGGCGCGGGTGGCCTGGGTACCGTAAAAATGTTCCAGGCGCTGCTTGCTCATTCGACAGTTGTAAAGCTGTTGTTATCCATTCATTGCGCTGGTTCTTCATGATTAACAGGACCTATGAAGGTAAACTTAAAGCATACGAGGCAAGAACACTATAAACTGAAAGACTACAAGACTTCCCATCACAAAGTTCTTTTTTTAAGTGGTTAAAATATATCAATCGAGGTTAACGTTAAAAAAGACCCCAAGGAAGAATTTTTGGGTTCAGATACCCCCCTCCCGCCTGGATTTCCCGAGCCATCAACGCCCCCTCTGCGAGAATTTCCAGTTTGTCATCCATTGGGGGTGTGTGTATTTTTTCTGGAACAACCCAATCTCAATTTCTGTGGATTCAAGTGATACTAATTAGTAATACATATTAAGAAAGTCTCACATTAATTGATATAACTTTAAAAGAATTATCTTTCTTGCAAATTTCACTAAACTACAGCAACAGAATGTTACAGAATCAACACTGACAGTAGATGTATTAACTTATTACGATGAATCCTAAGGCAACAGATTAACATGTAACAAATTTCTTCACTACAGGTGCTTTTAAATTGCCACCTTAAAATTTCCATTAGAGCTACAGTTGTAAAATCTACAAAGCAGATGTCTTCAAGCAATTTATGGTTTAAACAATGAGTTGAATAATCTGTCTTATTAAAAACTGGATCAATGGATAATGCAATTCAAGAGTTTTCATTGGCTTAGCCTTCATGGTATATGAACAATATTATGCCATGCTCTACAAATATGGTAAGCGTACACACATTTTTGGGGGCATTTTTATTTTTATTTTATTTAAATTAGTTTCCTATATTTCAGGGGCGTTTTTAATGAAACAATTATTCTACTTGTGCTTGTTAGATATGGGATGATTATAGCCAACTCAACTTACATATCTCGTTGGGTATCCATCATATCATACCCAACGTGGGTTCATTGTTTCAAAAATAGTGCGACTAACGTACCCTTGGCTGCTAGAAATAACATGACCTGGTGATGCTACAGGCCAGCAGACACTGAGCCACAACCTGTCCCTAGGACCATAAGAATCGTACTTGTCTTTGCGTGATGATCTCTTTGGCAGCTGTTTGACAGACAGTACTTTACCATGAAATGCATCCCATAACCTTACTGTCTGGTCCCTGGAGCCAGACAGTATAAGGTGGCCTTCAGCAGCTGCAGTCTTTTCTTGTAGTGGACCTGCAATGATTTAGTTCAAATCATGATTGTGATTGATATACAGTCATGTATGTCCTCTCAAACATTGCCATAAAAAAAACATATGGAAGCCAGTCAAGAGGACTTGTATGTTGACAATGGTCCAGTGAAACTGACATTGTACCAGCTGTTGTCCCCCTCTTTAACTTCCGACTGTTAGGTCATAAAATTACCCACAGCCCAGATCTTCAAATATTGTTAAAATTATTTATCAAATTATGGGTAAATGTAAAGAATCCGATCCTACCGACGCGTTGGCCGACGTGTTGGCCGACGCGTCGGTCGACTGTCGGTCGACAGTTGGCCGACAGTCGGCCGACAGTTGGCCGACGTGTCGGCCACTTTTTAACCTTGTAACGTACAAGCTGCGTCGGTGATGTGTCGGTGGTGCGTCGGTGGCATGTCTGTGATCCGTGCACTGAGTGAGCTGAGAACAATCTGTTGCAACAAAGTCCTGAATGCTGGAATTAAGCTTGGAGGCTTAGGGAAGACCGTGGAAATAGACGAGTCGAAGTTTGGTGCCAAGAGAAAGTATAAGAGAGGGAGAGTCTCGGAAGGTCCGTGGGTGTTTGGAGTAGTGGAGCGAGGATCGCAGAAAGTGCTGCTCTTCCGTGTTCCCGACCGAACTAGAGAGACACT